CGCAGGCATCTATATTATGCTGACATAACCTCTCTTTATTCAATGAGTAAGGTGCTGCAACAGGATTGGAATCACCAAGGTTGGATATTTTCTCCTGTCTAAAATAAAGAGAGAACAGTAACTACGCTTTGATCTCAGCCAAACGGCCGAGTTATAGCAAATTTATTACCAGTTTGCATATTTATTACTAACAACATAAACAGTAATATTTAATTTACATAACTATTTTAAAAGCCTATTTTATTAAATATATCATGTTATTTATTTTTTTAATTTTAAAGTTTCTATATAAACAATGCTTCTATCAATAAACCTTTTTTTAATTCTTGCATTATTTACATTATCCGGACTGTTATCCTCATCTTCATTTCCATATTTACGTTACGGCCGTTTTACGCTCCGGCCTTCTTCAGGTGGTTGGGATTTCCAACCGAACTCTTTATTTCGCTCACCGGGGTAGATTGTTCTAGTTCCACTTGTCATGACTCTTCCGGATGTCTCAAGGACACATGCCCAGTGGATAAAGGCGTTGGTTAGATCAGGTGATTAGACACAAGAGTTGTGAGTTCAATACCAGGCCACATTAGTGGTGAACCAAAAACTCGGAAAGTTAAGTTAATTCGGAAGAGGTCTTGAACAGGTCTAATATGATAGATAGATAGATAGATAGATAGATAGATAGATAGATAGATAGATAGATAGATAGACATACCCGAAACAGATCTGATCTAAAGATAGATAGATTAGATAAATATATCTGAACAAACTTATATAGACTTGACTTATACAGTTCTAATATGATAGATAGATAGATAGATAGATAGATAGATAGATAGATAGATAGATAGATAGATCAATCATTGGTTAACGTCATGAGTTCCACCCTCAAGGACTTGTATCGAACTAAATTATTCACAGGAGAGGCCACCATTTTGTTTGGCCAATTATTAACAACAATTATATCCATAAAATTGCTAATATCAAGCATGGTATTCCTACATGTCAGACAAAGGATCGCATTAAACTTTGACTTTAAAAAAAAAACTGCTAAAAAAAAGGTTTGTAAATTTAAAGAACTAGCGAATTTGTTCATAGCTTCCGTAACTGACGACCTGAAATGTTAAAGTGCAATCTTTCAGTAAAGTCAGCCTGCCAGTCATACTATGAAAACTGTAGGCATTAAGAGTTGCTCATTAACATTTCTTTATTTCTATTGATTAACGTTCCTTACCCTGTTTTCCGCAGTTCTCTGCAACGCAGCATATGCAAAGCAGACATAAAAGCTTAAAGGACGGTAACTCCGTTTCGAAATGACTTTTGGCGAGGAAAGACAAGGAAAGGTGGATGCACTGCGGTGGAAATGGAAATACGGGGGCCTTTCTTTCTACTGTTTTTTTCTCTTTCTTTTCTTCTTTCTTTTTATTCTCATCGTCTGGGTTTCTTTATTTCTCTAGCATTTTTTGGATTTTTTTCTTCCAACACGCAACCAACTTTAACTTTCTGATAATCATTCCACCATCATTTCTTCGTCTTTCTCACGAACTTCATATCCTACTCTCTACTGCCTATCTGTCTCTTTCTCTTTTCTTTTTTATTTCTTTAAGATTTCCTTCATCATTGTCTTCATATATCCCTCTGATATTTTGTATTTCCTCCTCTTCCTCTTCTTCATATCGTTCTTCTTCTTCTTCTTCTTCTTCTTCTCTCGCCCTCTTTTTTGCTCTCTCTGTAATTTTCTTGACTAGTGACTTTTCCTTTTTTAAATATTCGAATAAACGTTATACTTTGCAATCCACAAGACATGTTCTTACACTCACTCAAAAGTCTAATTTCGTTCTCTTTTTCGCGACTCTTAATTCTTGATGCTCTCTCTCTCTCTCTCTCTCTCTCTCTCTCTCTCTCTCTCTCTCTCTCTCTCTCTCTCTCTCGCATGTATCTATTCCCTCCCATCTCATATTTTCTTCTTTCTTCCTCTGGAATTTCTGATAATTTCTCTCTTTCTAGATTTTGTCTTTTCTTTTCGTTCGCCCTCTGTTTCTCATTTAATTATCCCCATGAACGTTTTATTCTCGTCTCCTTTCTTTTCTCCTCTTCTTTCTTCCTTTCTTTCCGTGAATTTTCTTTCTTTCTTCTTTTTCCCGTATTCGTTTCGTCTTACTTTCTTCGTTTCATCACCGCACGCCTTTGTTCTTTCTTTTATTCTTCGTTTCTTTTCTCATATATTTTATTTCAATGTGCACTTATTCAATTCTTACTTCTTTTCTTGCATATTCTTTCTTTCTCCATCTTATTCTTCCATGTCTGCTTTCTTTATTCATGTTACCATTTCATGTTTTTATTCATTCATTATTTCTGTCTTTCTTTTTCCATTTTCTTGTTCTAAATATTTTTTATTTATTTTATTTCTTATTCATATCTTCTTTTTCCCTTCTTTCTTTCTTTCTTCTATATATCTTTATTCCTTCATGTTTTCTTCCATTTTTTTTATTTCCATTCATATATGTTTTCTTCCTTTCTCTATTTTCTTCTTTTTTTCCTCATTCTTTCATTCTATATTTTCTTATTATCTGTCATTTTTCTTTCGTTCTTTCTTTTTTTCTTTCTATCTTTCTTCATTATCTCTTCTTTCCCTGTAGCTCTCTTACGCTTTCGTTTATTATCTCATATATACTTTCTTTCTTTCTTTCTTTCTTTCTTTCTTTCTTTCTTCCATGTAGCTTTCTTTCTCTTCTTTATCTAATATATATTTTCTTTCTTTCTTTTTTCTTCATTCCAAATCTTTCTTTGAAGTCTTTCTTCCATGTAGCTCTCCGCCTCTTCTTTATCCCATATATACTTTCTTTCTTTTTCTTTCTTTCTTTCTTTCTTTCTTTCTTTTCCTTCATTCCAAGTCTTTTTTCCATGTAGTTCTCTCTCTCTCCTTATCCCATATATACTTTCTTTCTTTTTCTTTCTTTCTTTCTTTCTTTCTTTCTTTCTTTCCAAGTCTTCCTTCTATGTAGTTATCTCTCTCTCCTTATCCAGTATATACTTTCTTTCTTTCTTTCTTTCTTTCTTTCTTTCTTCATTCCAAGTCTGCCTTCCATATAGCTCTCTGACTCTTCCGTATCCCATATATACTTCTTTCTTTCTTTCTTTCTTTCTTTCTTTCTTCATTCCTAGTCTTCTTTTTTTTTCATGTAGCACTCTTTCTCTTTCGTTTCCTTATCCTATAATTACTGTCTTTCTTCATTTTTTTATTCCGTTTCCATTTACTTGTTCTATATTTTATTTATCTATTTATTCCAAGTCTCCTTTCTTTTTTGTAAATTGTTTTTTTTCGTTCCTTTTTTTCTTTTCTTTGCCATTGTTTTATTATTATTTTTATTTATATCTTTTATTTATTTCCATTATTCAACTTTTTGTTTCTTCGATTAATTTTCGTTATTATTGATTTTCAAGTCATGCAGCCGCTCTTCCTTACTAATCTTTATGTCACGAATTTGATTGAAGTCAATTTCTTCCTTCTTTTTAATAGCTTTTTGTCTTTTCTTTCTTTTTTTTTTTTTGTTGCTTTCTTTCCTACTATTTATTATCTTTTGTTCGACTTTCTCCCTTGTCTTTTTTCTCTTTCTTCATCTATCTTAAATGTATTTTCTTTATTTTCTCTCTTTCTCTCTCTTTACAAGTCTACTGTTTTTTTCCTCATTTTCATTTGATATTTTTTATTTTACTACTCACTTCGCCCTTCACTCGCGTCTATTTTTTCCCTATTTTTTGCAGTTGTAGATTATTTTCTTGTTTATATCAGATGTATTTGTAACTGCAGTTTCTTTTCATTTTCCTTCATCATCGTCTTTATATTTCCCTCTCCTATGTTGTGTCTCCTCCTCCTCCTCCTCCTCCTCATCTTCTTTTTCTTTCTCTCCTCCTCCTCCTCTTCATCCTCTCCTCCTTCTTCTCTCACACCCCTTTTCGCTCTCTCTGTAGTTTTCTTGAGTAGACATTTTTGCTTTTTTAAATATTCGAATATACATTATACTTTGCAGTCCACAAAACCTGCTGTTCTTTCATTTATTCAAAATCTATTTCGTATCTTCCTCGCGACTCCTAACTCTCTCTCTCTCTCTCTCTCTCTCTGTTTATCTGTCTGTGTTTTGCTCTCTTTATCTGTCTCTTTGTCGCTCACTTTCTCTCTCTCTCTCTCTGTTTCTCTTTATTTCTCAGTATTTTTTTATCTTTTTCTTTTTCTCTCTTTCTCAGTCTTTCTTTTTCTTTCGCTCTCAGTTCATCTTTTTCTTGCTCTCTCTGTCAGTCTGTCTATCTTTTGCTTTCTCTCTCTCAGTCTGCCTATTTCTTGCTCTCTTTTTGCAGTTTATGTACATATTTTTCTTGCTCTCGCTCTCTGTCAATCATTTTTCTTCCTCTCTCTGTCTCTCTCTCAGTCTATCTTTTTCTTGCTCTCTCTCTCTCTTTCTCGGTGTATCTATCTTTTTCTTGCTTTCTCTCTCCCCCCTCCCCTTTCTCTCCCCTCCCCTCCCTCTCTCTCTCTATCTATCTATCTATCTATCTATTCTTTTCTTACCCTCTTTCTCCCTCTATACTCCTTAGATCTCTCAGCTGTGCCTCTCAATCGTTTCCCCCTGACCTATACTAAGACTGACATTCACGCGCTCTCTTTTCCTATCAAGCTATTTATTCTCAATTGCTGTTTTTTTTACTGTAATGGGATATTTGGCTTTTGTTGTATGAATACATTATGGGGTCTCTCGAGCTAAATTCGTCTCAAGTCTTTGTCCAGCCGCTGCCTGCTCCAAGAAGATAACGTGTGCTTAATAATTCCGTCTCACTTGGATGCAAAGACCCTTTCATCGTATCGCTTCTACACGATGCTACATCGACCAGTCGCTTTATTTCTTTTATTCCTATCAAACTTGGCCAACTGCTACTTTTATTTGTCTCCCTCCATCTTTGTTCTTAACGTTATTTATTATTATTATCATTATTATTATTATTACTACTACTACTACTGATATTCTTGCTATTAATTCTTTTACTGTGGTTCTTTTCTATATATTAGTAGTAGTTATAGTAAATGTATTTATTGTATCGACATTATTCCTTTTTATGCTGTCAGTTTTTTTTTATTTTCTCCGGTAGAAACTGTCAACAAATAAATAATCTAAAAAAATGCTATTCTAGCAGATTATAGAGGGACACGAAAAATATAGAACATCAAGGTCTTGCTCGAAAGCTAAAAACCTGCGAAAAAGGACTCTGACAGCTGTAACGATATGCACAAGAGCACTAGGAAAGGGTTACGAAATAATCTAAAGAATTTCAGATAAGAATTAAGCCGATTCAGTGTTGAAGTCGGCTATATTCTTCTGGCATTCCGCGTTTGTTCCTGTCATAATAAAATAAGGGTATCCCATTTCCCCTCTCGCTGGAACCATCCATCACAATAAAATAAACGCTTTTCAGCACTAAAACAGAATGAGTCAAATAAAGCTTCGACTTAGAGTTGTTACTATATTACAGTTCCTATAGTAATGGATGCACTTAGAACATCACCAAAACTGCTAGAGAGTTTAAGGAAATTTTGAATTGGGGTCGGGATTATAAACCCCCAGAAAACTACCCTACATTAGTTTGCTAGGATTATGCAAAAAGTTGTGAGGAGTCTTGTTGACACCATAACTGAAGAGCAGAATTTCCATTACGTCAATTTAAATATCAATAATAATAATAATAATAATAATAATAAAAACCTAATCGCCCAGACATCGTGGTCAAAGACAGAAAAACGGAATGTGCTTGCTTATTGGCATGGTAGTCCTTGCAGATTGTAATATGTGTTTGAAGATCTTCAAAACACTATAAAAATACAAGAATCTTGAAGTGGAAATCTAAAAAAATGCGTCACATGAAGACATCAATAATTTCAGTTGTAGTTGGAGCCCTCGGTTTGATTGGAAAAAGTTTCGATAGACTCATTGAAGGTATTCCTTGCAGCCCTTGCGTTAAAGATATACAAAAAAATTGTACTCACAAATACAACTGTGTGTGATCTTAGATTTTTTTTTACAAAAATGCTCCATGCAAAATATAATGATGTCATTTCAGACCATAGGTCCTTGGTTGGGACCCGGAAGGAAATGAGTATGCAACAAAAATCAAAGGAAATAATAAAACAATATTAATAAGAACAAGATTAATGTGTATATTGGGTATCGGATAATTGTAATCCAGCGTCACGTTGATTGTGGGCTACATTCCAATGCTACCCTTGTTAAATCTCATGTTGAGTCCACGAGAGCCATTTTCTCCCTCCAGCTCTCACAGTTTTGGCAGAGAGTCGGAACATCATCCGGTGCCTGATAAATCTGCTGGAAGTCCTTGCAGACGAAGTGAATCCAGCGCCTGCGTGATCTGATGCGAGGTCGCCGGCCTTTTGCGGGTCAAAATGGTAGATGACTGTTATGGTGGTTACAGGACGTGACAACACGGCGCTGAGCGATGGTGCGGAGGATGTTCGGCTCGTCGGTCTTTCAGCTGGTCGGTCCTTCATTGAATACAAGACCGAACCTCTGACGACCGCTATGGCAGCGTCACGGCATCTCTCAACGCAACAAGGTACGAGTTTACATCATCACTGTCCTCTCTATGACGCCGAGACGTGGCCTCTTACCAAGACTATCGTCTCCTGTTTCCATGACTTCGAGCCGAAAGCCCATCGAATGGATGCATTTATCCAGTTTTGTGATATCTCTGCAATAATAATAATAATAATTAGAGAATAACACGATTTAAGAAAATAAAGAAAAGACACGGCGTTTAGCAATGTTTAACAATATTTCGACAGTATTTCTGTCTTCTTCATATGCTAACTACTAACGTCCTACATCGGGAGAATTATGCCCTGGGTATGACGATAAACTACATCTGGCAGCAAGGCCTCTGAGCAGGAGGTTTTGAGCGTGGAAGCACCTCTTAATTGCTATTATTCCCAGGCCCACCATGACTCGGTGTCGTAGCACCTGTTAGGATCTTCCTCAAGATAAGTGACGTTTGTACAAAGACTTGTATTTTTTATATTTGTTATACTTGTATGCAATTTTCTAACATAACTTGAAAAAGAGAGACACAGTGCCTATATACTGTCTTTAATTTTCTTATTGTTTTCTTAGATCGCGCTATTTTGTGACAGTTGCATAATATCCTATAGTCAATCATTTTGTTTAATAATAATAATAATTGGCATAATGATACATCAGATCTGGCTTTCATCGTTTGTGATTAATTGATTAGAAGTACATGTTGTGTCTTGCTGAATTAAGATGGGTTACAATAAATATTCTCTTCAGTATCACAGATTTGCTGGTCAGTTCCCTAACTTTAACAGGTCCGGCACCTCCTTTAGACTCTGACGCAGTGTATCACTGGTCATCAGCAGGAATAGTGGGAGGAGGTCACCGTGGCAAGATGCTGGCAGCGTTATTCTTTACGTTTGAAGTATGAGTCAGCACAAGCGACATTTTCATCTAGCTACTTAGCAACAGAGAACAATCGCTGACTCTCTGAGCAAACGGGTTTACCTGACCCGAGCCAACTGGTCTACCCGACCCGAAAGCATTTCTAACTGCGCCGCACTTTCAATGTTATGCTTTATTTTTATATCTAAAACAGCACCATACCACTTAAATTTGTCTGGTATACACTTAACTGGGTGTCATGACGGACATATTGGGTTTCGTTGGAGCAATGACAGAAGTATGCTTGCTCAGAACAACATGAGGTGGGGGCATAAAAGTAGTGGATACAGCCTATTAATGAAATTATTTCCTTAAGGCAAGAGAGGTGACTTTAAAATAAACTTTTTACTAGCAACTGACATCATATGCTATGTAGAAAAAAACTAACTAAAAATCAATGCGATCAATGATCATTTTTATAGACGTTGAATGGAAGGAATCCTGTAGCTTTTACCATTCAAAATCTGTCTGCAATCTTATGCGAACAGTTGTAAATAAAAATAGGTACCAGGTTCTAGGGATGTAAGCTCAATAGAACAGATCCAAATCCAAGCCCTCCTTCCTTCTTGTGGGGGGGATCCCTAATTGATTAACCATCTCCTCAGAGATATAGCCATACTCACCACACTTAGTCAATTGCGGGTTGGAGAAGCTATTTATCACATAGATGGCGGATTTAAATTAAAAATTCTCCTCTTTCCAGACCTGTTGCTACCTAAGATATTAACCATCCCTGCTATTTAACCCATATCTGGAGGTTGGGGAGAAGAAATGGATCCAAAACTTTCCTAAGCAAGTGAATGTAACGGACTCAGCTGGAATTCGAAATCGGCTCTCCGATTCCTCAACCCGAGCCGTTAACCATGGCTGCAGGTTGTAACTATTCAAGAATTCAAGTGGTAAATATTCAAAAAATTATTTGTACTAGCATCACGTTCTTTATATATGTTTTTACAACGCTGCTATAGGTTTATTGTTCGAATATATTCCTCTGGATATTTTTCTCGGCTCACAATAATAATTAATCACAAGTTCAAAACCTTCTGGACTTGGATAAATTAAACATCGATTTTTTTTGTTCTATTTTCATTCTCTTGTATGCCTTTGTGCTGTACGACTTCAGTTTTTATTGACGATTTCTTCATTTTTCTTTCGTCGGTCATAATAAGGTCTGATATTCTGACTTCGATTCTGTTTAGATGTTTGCCTAAGACTTTAAAATTATATATTCCATTTCCAGTAATTGCTTTTGACTTTATAAAAAAGAAAATAACAGTAATAATTACACATGCATGATGAGTTGAATATATTAGTTAAATCCGACTAAATGATTAAATAAGGGACAAATGGAAAATCTTTATAAAGTTAACGTTTCTCTATTTATACAAGATTAGTGATGAAGCTAAATAAATAGCCAAAAAATTTCATAAAGATTTTCCAACTTGTTCCTCATTTAATCAAACATGATGAACATGCATTATATTTTGAAGGTTTATTGATCACACGCCATATTTATTACAAACTCTTTTTCTGTCCGCTCTCACTCTCTCATTTCATCTATCTTTTCTGCTTACTCCAATTCTAATTTCGTTTTATTTTTATTTGCTTTTCATGAATCTAAATTTTATTATGCATTACTCAGCTGATTTTTCTTTATTTTTTCATTATTTAATCACAATTTTATTTGGCAAGTTGATATATATATATATATATATATATATATATATATATATATATATATATATATACAAAGAAATAATCACGCATTGAATCAATCAACAATATTAATGCTAGAATGGCGACATCCATCATTTAGTAGTGTATAATGTATGCATTAAAATATTTTAATCCATAGAATGATGTGATCCTCATTTATAAAACTGTTGTCTATGGATTAACATTGTATTTGATTGATACTATGCGTGATTATTTCTTTTGTATATAAATTATATTTCTTTATAATGTATATATATATATATATATATATATATATATATATATATATATATATATATATATATATATTTACTTGTTTTTGCTTTTTTATTTTCGAAATATATCGAGTTATTGGGACTTGGAATAATAATAAATTCCCAAAATTGGAATATTACAAAAATTTCCAAAGTTTCAAAAGATCGCATTATTTTTTATGAATTTATTAGCACATTAGCCTTATTTTTAAAAAAAAAAATTCCCAATGGTTTACCAAAAGAAAAGTGATTAATTAAGAACTTTTTGAGCAA